TATCATGTCAATAAACTATATTGCTCAGCTTACTAGAGAACCTTCTAAAAAGCAAGACCAAGTAGTAATAGGGACAACGCTGATGTGTATTTCTTATCTTTGAAGCTAATTGAAATTGAATGTTGTATTCTGAAATCTGACCATTGTCTTTTTACAAACTATTTTCAGTTTCAAAGGAAATTAATCATTGTGAGGACTTGTTTGGAATGACGTTAAATGTTGATTGGTTTGTCTTAATCAAACAATAAATGACAAACTTTTTCGAAGTGTTTAGGTCTTATTGTAAGCACAGTTATTGAACTATTCAATAACCAAACCTATATGGGTGTCAGTAGCGAACATATCCCACTTTGTGTTGTGATTATAACAATGGGCTTTTGCGCTCTTGGCTTTTTCGGCAATGCAATGATTGTTTTTGCAACTCTCAAATCGCCAAGATTGAGGAATCGCTGTAATCTACTCATTTGCAGCTTAGCCTTTGCAGATCTAATCGTTTGTGTGTACTTAGTAAGTATCTTATACCGTATATAGTTGTGCAAACAGTACACCGTCGATAATTTTTTCAGATGCATATGCGCATAAACTTACTTCGAGGATGGAATTTTTGTAAAAATAGTGAATGTTATCTCGTCGCTATGTATGGCTTGTTTGCTATGAATATTGAGTCCGGTGTGGGACTCGTTTTGGGAATTGACAGACTTATTGCTGTAGTATGGCCGGTAAGGTAAGATGAGGAGAGAGGTTTGCGTAATTGCGCCAATGACGATTGTGACCCAAACCAACGAAGCCTGGTTGCTAAGCCGTTGACTAGAAGTTATAGATATATTAATCTACCAAAGCTGCTTTATGTGACAATGATGGCAACTGTTTTTATCTATTCTGTCTTTGTGACGCTTTTTGGCTACTGGTATTCAACAGGTAGGTTTCTGCGCAATGTACCAATGCTGTACCAATTACTACATGTGTTCAAAATCGGCTACACAGATAGCCAAAAGAATAGGAAACAAAGCTGCCACTTTGTGTGCTTGATTTAAATTCGCTTATAAGTATTTATCATACAGCACAAAATGGTTTGGTTTACTTCAGTATTCAGGCGGTGGAGAATCAGGTTTTTCCTAAAAGAAATTAGAAAATTTTTTTGGCGAACATATCAGAAAAAAGTCAGAGAATTTACATACGGCATAGGTTAGATACATAGAGCCACGGCTCTGATCACCTTCACTAATGAGCGAAGAAAAAGTAGGACCCTC